ATTTCGAATCACAGATGAGTAAAGCGTATATAATTTCTTTGAAATTTTTTGCTGTTATTTAAATAAAATAGGCTTAATTAGATCTTGATGTAATGATGTTAGGAACCTACCAATAAGATTTTTCGAACAATTTTTAAACTATATAATTAACTGAATCGCACATATTACTATAAATAATTGTACTTTATTTTAAATTCGTGAAAATATTTTATATCGTTCATGATTACTATCAGATACTTGCAGGTGAGATGTAACAATATCTAAAAGTTTAATGCTAAAGAGTTTAAAGCTTTAATATAATCAGTACAAGTAGATAAATGTCACAGTATGCTCCGTTTTGAGTTTCCTGCATCTGGGACGAGGGCTGTTAACAAACCACGTTCATTTACACCCACACATTGCTTTTACTTTTCCATACTACTTCAGTGAATAGTGTCGTAGTTGACCGTCGTTCGTGAGAAGAGGACGCTAAAATCAGTCGTGAATATTGAGTCGGTAAGACAGTCAGACCCTGAGTGCTTATAAAATGTAAAGTTTATTCTATGAAGTATTATGTCTATTCTCATATCTCGTTTGTGTTATTACATTTATTTTGATATCTCGTACATGATCGAGGATACATGTAATTGCACCATAATTCCAAGATTTCCTACTCTTCTCGTATACAGAGTTCTCTATTATCATCAGTTTCAGTGGATAAATCAGTTTGGCGGAAATTCTCATGGTACGCTCAGCGTGGAACATTATCTGTATTTTAATTATTATCAAAGAAATACCATGTTTGATTCTAGAATCTAAATTAGATTATTAAAATAAAATACATTATGTGTATTTTAATTATTATCAAAGAAATACCACGTTTGATTCTAGAATCTAAATTAGATAATTAAAATAGAATTTTTTAATGTATGCAAACTCGGCATTCTTACATTTAATTAGTACAAACATAGAATCCATTTTAGTTATTGCTAGACTGCGGATTTTTCCCCCGGAAGTAATATCGTTGCAACGGCTCCTGGGGGAACGCTATGGCAAGAGAAAAAAAGTATGCAGATTTTTATGCAAATTTAAAATTCTCTGTATCAATTATAAGAAGTACTATTTCTCCTTTTAATAATTTAAAAAATAATATGGCAGCATTAACTGATGTAATGATTTTCGCAAAAATGACTGATGTACTAAGGTCATGATAGACCTAAATAAAATGTGGAAAAAAAAATAGTAATTTAATTCTAGATAAACGTTGCGTTAGTATTTTATTCTTAGCTAGTGTATGGAATAAAATCGTGGAAAATTAAACTTTTACTTCAAAATAAAATACAATAACAATATCATAATCCCAGTACACCAGTTAAGGGTAAAATTCATTTATCATTTCGAATTGCTCTGTGTTTCATGTAGTAATTTTTCCCATAAAGGCATAAAATTCGAATTTTAGTTACTACAGTGACAAATGCAATCATCACAAAAAAAAAACATTTAAAATCGTTAATACCCATATTATTCAGAGTTGAATAAATTTTATTTTAAATAATAAATAACAAATTACAAAAAATGGAATTAATATTTCATTTGCAAATAATAAATTTTTGTATTTCATTAATTATTGTGACACAGGTCGAGTAGCGTAGAATTTGCATGGCAATAGTTAATTAATCCAACAAATCCAGGATTAATCCTAATCTTAAAAAATAGTTAACTAACTGTGACAATTGACATTATTAATGAAAAAAGTTCATTTTTATTTCATTTCTGTCTCTTACAATTAACTCAGCAAATTTTGATTTTGCATAAAGAAACGTGGTCTACTTATGTCTCAAACGTAATCGGTAAATCTCATAACTTTAAAATTTCAAGAAGGAAATGTAAATATTTTAGCGGGTTCATTATTGTGCCGTATTATTATCCTGATTATTCCGCTTGCAAATATGGATTAATACTGCACTTTTTCGAAGGATTAGAAGTATGAGAGCGCATTCCGAATGGATCTGGCATTTCTCGTGAACTTTGCTCGGTAATAACTTTCGTTGTAATAAGTCACGGAAATTCTTTATTGCAATAGACGAAAAGTTTGAAGTTTTCAAAACGCGTTCAAGAGAGGATCGATCCGCTCTTCTTGTGTTGTTCTCGTTAACGTATCGACAACACGGTGGACGTCAAGAAAGTTTCCAGTATGTTGAAGTTCCGAACGTCAGGGCAACGAAAGTACACGGTGAGAATCTTAAGTAAAATGTTTCGGAACTTCTAAAGATAGTTCATGAATGTACACATTTTTTCTCAGTTACACATGTCACTCTGTCGTTTCCTATTATTGTTTCTTTGACCAAGAAATGTCAGTCGAGCATATACAGTAGTTCCAATAGTCCAGTAGTTTAATGAATTTTTAAATTAGTGTACTGCATACGGATTCAACAATAATATTTATCATAGCTATAAAATAATTTATCCGGTTCTGCATTGAGGTAAAGAACACGCAATGGCACTATAAACGTAAAAATTGCAGAGATATATATTTTTGCACACATTCTTACTCTTTTTATCTGTGTCCTCTGGTACTTAGTGCCTACTTTAGATAAAAGTGGGTTGAAATATTTCGCGTAGTTCCTGCAGCATCAGACGATAGGTTGCTATCGTTGCTACACGTACTTCCTTTAGAATAGCTTATTTGCGCTGTTACCATACTTCAGCCACCGTTGCAAAGCTGTTCGAAACGTTTCTGGAACATGCTCTCGACACATCTTTCAGATTTTTCATTGCTTTTCCGTTTCGGAAGGTATGATATTTATTTTTCTTACTTCTCTGCTTACAAAATCGTTACGTTAATTGGCCGTACCAATGAAGCTTCCGCTATTCGTATCAAAATAGGACGAAGGAGCTGGAAAAGTGTTGAGAAAGTAGGTTCTAAGAACGTCTTCATTGCCAAAAGCATAGTCGGTGTGAAGAGTACTTGTAAAACTTTTAACACGGAATAACTTCTTTTTAATTGCGTACAGCGATTATAATCTTTTGGGGATGTTACAGGAATTATTTAGTTTACTAGACAATGGCTAAAAAATTGTTTTCAAAAATTGCAATTTGTTGGACCGACAAACAAAATAAAGAAATTAAAAAAAAATATGATTTGTAGATCTCGGTAACTTATATGCATACTGAAAATTTCATTGAAATCAGTTTTTTGCCATTTTTGCCAATTTTTAGTAATTGTTAAACAGGAGGAATTAGTAAACTAATTCTTGTAACATCACAAAAAAATTGAGATCGCTTGGTATTATTATAAAAATATTATTAAAAGGTGTACGAATACTTTTTGCATCGAATGTATTTGCGAAGAAGTTACTTGAATAGATTACGCCATAAACATGATATTTTTGGTTCCTTTTCCACAGTAAAAAGATGTCAACTTCTCGATACCTACAGCGTAATTTTATGACTGATGACATATGGCAGATATTTCTATTAACTGTCAGATGCAATATGTGCCCGGTTAGATAAGAGACAAAGCTGTTTGATTTGCTATTCACGATAAAATGTATTATCTACGTATAACAAATAACTAATAATATCGTTCGTAAATAATAACGTAGTAGATAATTATTCTATTATGGTATTTCTATTGATGGAATATAACTCATGCGAATATTTTAATATCTGCGCGCAATGTACATTATTCTTTGATAATAAATTAAATTGTATACAATAAAAGCTTTGTGTCGAAACTAAAAAAGAATTTGAATTTCCGTTGCAGGTTAATCCAGGGAGTAAAGCGGCTCAACAGGGAGTGAGAGAAGGCGATTTAATTAGCAGTATTAATGGAAGAAGCACTCGGGATCTAACAAACAGTGAGGCGCACGCACTTTTACGGAATGCTGGGGACCAATTAAAGCTTGGTTTGAATCAGTAAGTTAATTTTCGAAAAAACAGAAAATGTAGAGTAAGTTTAAATTTGATTAATCGTACATGTGATATTCGGCTGTTGTCTCTAGAAGAAAAGAAAAAAGTAAAGAATTAACAAACTTCTTAGTATTCATTGCAAACTGAACATAAATGGAAATGGCCTAACGAACGCACATTTTTTTTAAATCATTGGAATTACTAAAAAATTTGTAAATGATACAAGTTTTCTTACATGCGGAACGTGATTGGTTGAGGGTTAATTGATTTTCTTGTGACCGTATTGCAATGCTAGAAGTCTATCTCCTAGCAGATAATAAAATAAATATTGTATATTTACGTAGATAATAAAGTAAATAACATCATATTTGTAATAACATTATAATTGAAAATAGGGTAATTCGCCGTAGTTATCTCTAAAAGCTGTGGTTGTTAAAAATTATCTACGATACATAAAACATTTTATTCAGGGGATTATAGTGTCATTTCTACCTAGCGTATTTAAATCGTCACCCAATTATTTAATCGTTGCCATCAATCAAGCAGGTCAAAATAGCGGCTTCACACTGTCTTTTTTAAAGTTGTTGAAATTGGACTCTTTCACAGAAAATGATTCAACGAATTTCTTAGTCCAAGCATATATCGTAATAAAATTTGTGAATAGTCTAAACATATTCTCTCTTGTCATCATTATGAAATAGCACGCGTTAGCTACGTATGGGACTCGTTAATTAATAAATTACTTTTACACTCGAAACAAAAGAAAGTTTAATAAGTTTACAAGAAGTATCTTCAAAAATAAGTCTGTCTGTCGTTCAAGAATTAATATAATTTTGTTCGAATTCGGATATGTATACAAATTACGGTTCGAGATGAAAATTGAGAAATTTTTTTTCTGCTATTTTGAGTACAAAAAGAAAAACGTTTCTTGCACTAAAATGAAACGAACCAAGTAGACCGCATTCACGGTCGAGAGATGAGAAGGCGGATCGACTCAGTAGCTCGCTAAAGGGTTTATTGAACGTTTGAGACCAAGGAAAGAAAGAGGCTATATGGTTAGACGATGAAATAGGGTAGGCTGAGTGGAAACCTCAGCGGTCAGATACCTAAACTTAGTCCATTCGACAGGGCGTGTATTTCATTTTTGTAGCTTTTCAATTACATTTACGATACTTAAACGACCATGTTCTTAAGAGCTTTTGCATCATAATTAGACTGTGAATTGATGCATTTACGACAAAAATAATTTGGTAACAGTAGACAGATTAAGAGAATTTATGAATGATTTTAAATTATTTTCTACTTACTAAAATTGTTAAAGAAATCACGATAATATTACAATCTTCAAATATCCATCTAAAGAATTATATATTTTGTTCATATTTCTTGTAATGAAGTCGTTTCCGTATGTAATAAGATTGCTGCTTTATTGTATAAAATTGTAGTTAGTAAAGAATAAATTATTGAGAAATTTCATCATAATAGTTGATAGGAGTATTCTTTTCTAAAAGAATAGAAAAAGAAAATAGTATTTTGAACACACATCTTATGTTACGTTTCTAGAAGAACATAATGTAAATTTCATATTATTCATTATTTTCAATATACAGTTCACATTTTAAATTCTTTTACTCATTTTTTTCAGTTAAACTTTAAGAAAATATTAATACAATAAAAATCTATAAAATACCATTTTATACAAATCTCCAAAGTACCATTTTTATACAAATCTCCAAACCACCACTTTAAATAAAAATCTTAAAAATATTATTTTAATAAAGACCTCGAAAATACCATTTTAATATAAATTACGAATAAACTAATTTTCTTCCTGGATCCTACTCACCCAACCCGTACACTAGAAGATCGAACGTAAGAATAGAATTTTTTTCACTACAATGGAAAAAGAAGATAGTCACTGGGTCCATATTCTACCCCCACCCTTTCTCTGGACTTGCGTAGCCCGTAGAGTTACAGCGTCTGTTCCAAGAAATCTGGTGGAGGATGCCACAGACACAAACGTTCGCAGCATAGTAATGAGACACACGGTTACTATTGAATGATTATCTTATTAACTGGGTTGGGTTTCCGCAACGAACAAGTCGAATATCCCTACTCGCGTTCTTCTTATCCCGCCTAGTCCCGTGTGCACCGGCCTCTTGCAGCTCGATTCATTAAGGGAGACCTATTGCACTACACGGAAATCATAGATGGGTGAAGGGTATGATCAACCATCAGCCAATGAAACGATCGTAGAATTACGCATATCGGACTCTATAATTACACTATACGTAAATAACTAACTTGTAGAGATAGAATATGTATATGCACTTCGACCCTGAGGTATCACCCATTGGTAGTTATTCAACAGTTCTTGAAAATATATGTAGAACTCACAGCTAAGATTTTTGTCACGTTGAATGCCATGGGGACGACCGTCGACCAGCGAAGCCAAGATTACTAGAAACATAATTCGAATAAATTTCAATGCATTAATGCAATGCCGGGCAAATCATGTAAAATTAGCGTGTAAGAAATAGAAATGAAAGAAATCGTAGGTCAAAGGGTTAATTACGAAACAAAAAGTCACGCTCGGTAATTTACTGTGACAATTTCGTGGAGGATTATGAATCATTAATTAGAAAATTTTAATTATTAAAAGAAGGATTTTCAATGAGAAATAATTTATTATATTATCGGGAGATTTTTATAATTAATTATTATTCGAATGAATTTTCATTTCAAGCTTACTTGATATTTAAAATACATTTCTGCTTCCACTTTAAAATATTATTTATTATATTGTGTTGCATTATTTATTGAAAATTTGTGAAAGGTTGTAATAATGTGTATCTTATTGTTTTCAGGGAAAATATTGGCTCTCCCAAACGACGAATTTACAAAAGCAGTCTTCAGGAAAACACCACTACCGAAATTCTCAGTAGTAAGTTATATTTAATTATTATTATCTGTTTTGCAATCATGTTCCAAAAAACGTTAGAATTAATCGAAAATTGGGGAAGAAAAATTTTTTCAAAAATTGTATTTTTACAAGTAGTGTGTATAATAATCTAAACTGCGATTATTTTTATAAATACCATTCAGTTAACATTTGTAGATATAATTTCCACTTTTAAATTGCATCAAGTATAGTACTTGATCCCTATTTGCAAATCTCTGTGAACGTCAAATGTATAAATTCCACAATTAAATTGTGATCTTGCTAAAAGTTCATGCATTTACACCATTTGAAAGTTTTCAAAAAGTTGTAATCTCAAAAAATTATTAGAATCCAGTCTCATTTGAATTCAGTTTCCTCGAATCTGCTGTAAAAATGAATGAGTAAATATTACTTAATATCTTCTGTTTTTAATTCTTATTGAAAATTTGATTAAACATTTCAATTAAGTATGTTATTTTTCGCGTTGCAGGAACAACGACGACGAAAAGCACATCGAACACGCAGATTGTATCGACAGAGTCCAAGAAAAACGAAACGAGTAAGTACTTTAGTTTCTTCAACCTTCGCGTGACTGAGGCTGGGTCATTTTAAATCCGCTGCCTCACAAGTAATGACATGACCCTTTCAGGCTATTTGACAAGAAGATAAAGCCTGTTTTATGTGCATAATTTTCCTAATTTGTCCTACTTCAAACTTTCTATCCTAGGGATAGCTACGTTTAGAAATATCGTAGTTTAACTGTTGCACACATGCGTTTACATTATTCTATTGAATCTGCTTAATTCTTTAATTAATTTAATTAATTGAAATTATGAAAAATCAATTACTAAATAAATTTAATAAACAAACTGTTATCCATAAACACGCATAATTTCAGTTATCAAAAATCTGTTAAAAATTTACTTGATAAAAAATTTATCAATCGGA